GAAAGAGAGAAGGGAAAGACCAACCAGCAGACAGACAAAGCAGTGCGGCTACTGACACTTTCAATTACTTTGAAAATGGAACCTGTATTCTGGTTGATCAAATAGTAGTGTGAGGGAGACGATGTATTTGTCTATTTGAGCATTTGTCTGTCCATGGAAGGGTTCTCTTGGTTCATGCCGTAAGTGGGCATTTCTCATTTTGAGCAAAATAGTATTCCCCACTATTAGTTCTTTTAATGTGGTACTATTTAAACAGCTGCATCACCAAACCTCTGCCTGCCAACAGCAACTATGAACAAAACTGTTTGTTTCACTAGCACAAGCTGCATAGCCTTGTCAGCACAGCTGTACCAGCATAGCCTCTGTAGGTGCAGACCTACCTACGCTTACGCTAGCAGAAAAGCAATTATTCACAGAGTCAAAAGGAACTGTTCTGATGTCAAGGAAAACTTAGAACATTCCATTTCCAAAAGTTTAAAGGAGGGACACATTTTGACTGTGTCAAAGCATCTGCTGTAGTCGAGGAATCTTTTCAATAACTAAGCCATAGAGTAAGTATGTAACTGGAGACATGCACAGATATAGCTATACAGCAGTAGCTTATGCAGAATTACCTTGTTAAATTGCTTTCATATTAGAATCACTTATGTACTATGACAACACTAAAATTCATGTTTTTGTAAAATGTAAAACTGTAAATTAACACCCTTTATTAAAATCAGTCAGAGACAGCTGATACAGCCCCTGGCTTCCCTGAATCCTACTGCCATGTGAACAGAAATGGAGAAAGTGGTGGGAATGGTGAGCTGTAAGAGCAGGGAGAGAAGATGAGTCATTGCTTAGTTTCTCTAGGACCCTTAGTATTGCCAAGTCCTGGCCTGACAGTTGCCCATCAAGCATGCAACACAGCTACAATTACTAAATGAAGTTCATGATGAAGTTCAAAAGGCACATGCAAAAATCCTGCAGCAGAATAACCCCATGCAGCAGTACGCTCTAGGGGCCAGCTGGCTAGAAGCAGCTTGGCCGGAAAGGTGCTGGAGGTCTTGGTGCACAAGAAGTTGAACGAGAATCTGCAGGGTGCCCTTGTAGTGATGAAAGCAGATAAATACTGGGCTGCATTAGTACAGGCATAGCTAGCAGGTACAGCGAGGTGATTATTCCTCCTGACTCAACATTTGGACACAGTACTCCAGATGTAGCCTCACAGCTTTGGGCTTCCCTTTATGAGACACTGACAAACCAAGTGGGAACCCACTAGAGGGCTATCAGGATGCTTGAGGGGGCTAAAGCACAGCACGGCTGAGAGGAGAGGCTTGAGATGGGGATTAATTCACCCGGAGAACAGAAGGCTGGGGTGGTGGGGGAATATCTTCAACTACCTAGCAGGTGGTTAGAGACAACACAGCAAGAGTCTTCCTGGAGACACACAGTGAAAGGGCAGGAGGCAGTGGACACCGACTGCAGCAAGAGGCATTCCAGTTAGACAAAGATGGGAGAAAGGGTGAGGGGAGAAAAGTCTTCTCAGGCAGGGCAGTCAGACACTGGAACACATTGCCCAAAGAGGCCATAGAGTCTCCCTCCTTGGAGATGTCCAGGCGAGTTTTGGGTAAGGCTCTGAGCAATTCAACCTAACCATGAAGCCGGCCCTGCTCTGAGCAGATGGTAGGAGCACGTGACCTCTAAAGGTCCATTCCACCCTAAATTGTTTGATGGTTCCAAGGCACTAAAAGAAAAAAAAAAGTTGTGGGTTTTTTTGGGTTGTTGTTTGTTTGTTTTCAAAAAAGGAGCCTTTCCTTTTTAGAAAAAGTCTTCCAGATAATAAGTCTTATTTTTACAAAATGATATGGTTGTAGTCACTATCAAAGTTCATGTTCAACTGGAGATGTATTGCAATATAGAAATAATGTGGATATAAGATTATGCCTTGAGCAAGCCTGATAGCTTTACTTAAGGAGCTGAACGAAGTATGTACCTTGTTCCCCATACTTGGAGCATACGGCTAAGTACAATGACATTGTTTATTTTCACAGTTATAATACAGAGACCCACATAAAGAAAACTGAAATGCTTGTCCCTGTGTCTGAATAGGTATCACTGAAGGAATCTTGTACATGAAAAAACCATCACACTCATAACTCAGCCTAAACCATCCACAGCAAAAATACTACATTTTACTGCATGACATTTCCCTTCCCAAGTGTCCTGGTTTCGGCTGGGATGGCCGTTAATTTTCATCCTAGTAGCTGGTACAGTGCTGTGTTTTGGATTTAGGATGAGAATAATGTTGATAACACACCGATGTTTTAGCTGTTGCTAAGTAGTGCTTACACTAGTCAAGGACTTTTCAGCTTCCCATGCTCTACCGACTGAGAAGGCTGGAGGGGCACAAGAAGCCGGGAGGGGGCACAGCCAGGACAGCTGACCCAGACTGGCCAAAGGGATATTCCATACCATGTGGCGTCATGCTCAGCACAAACTGGGGGAAAGATGGCCAGGGGGCGGTGACCACTGCTCGGGAACTGGCTGGGCATCGGTTGGTGGGTTGCGAGCAATTGCGTTATGCATCACTTGCTTTGTATATTCTTTTATCATCATTATTATTATTATTTTCCCTTTCTTTTCTGTCCTATTAAACTATCTTTCCTCCCCCCCTCCCCCGTGGGGGGGGGGGGGGGGCGGGGAGTGAGCGAATGGCTGTGTGGTGTTTAGCTGCCTGCCAGGTTAAACCAACACCACCAATATACCTCAGGTATCTATTAAAAAAAAACCCACAAGACAAAACAACAAAACATCCATAGCCCCCCAAACCAAAACCACCACAAGCCAGAAGAAAAACAAAAAAAAACACTCACACACAAACCACAATTTGGAGGAAGACTTTACAAGCCCTAGGTTAATTTTAACAGCAACAAAAATATTTAAGCTTATTTTAAATCTATTCTGGGAGCAACAGAAAAATACAGAATATGAAAAATGCAAAAAGCTTTTTGCAATCAATACACTGAATGAAAAATCCCACAGCTGTACAGGCCCATCACTGCACTTCGCTCTTTTCATTTTTTCTACTGAATTTTAGGATTACAGTGGAAATTAAAACCAAGGGCAATTAGAACCATCATAAGACATTTCAATAGGTAACCATTAGGCAATTTTAGGACAATTTCCATTTACAAAAAAACCCCAAAATCAATAGAAAATATTTTTCCTAAACAAAATCAAAACAGTTAATTTCAACTGCAGATTAAATGTTGAAAATACCTTTTGAATTCTTTCCAAGTTTTGGAATATTTTTTTTTTTTTAATATCTTAAATCTTCTTAGAAGTAGTTACTAGCCTCCCAGCAGGTATTGGTAATTTAAAGTGATTTCCTGCAGATCTGCATGCAGAAGCACACAGGCTATAACACTATAAACACAGAAAATGGCCTACCTGTATAAAGAGACTTACCCTAAAGAAATAATTAAGGGAAAAGACATTCAGGTATCCTTTGTTCTCTATATCAAGCAGTTTGAAAATATATTGCAGAGCTGCAGGCTCCTTTCTGTTTTCTAATGCAAGCACAAAGTCCAGGTAGGTTTTATAGTCCTAAAAGTAGATACAATCATGTTTATTACAGTCTTCTTTCTAAATTGATTTTGCAAGCAGGAACTTTATAATTGGCAGCTATTTCATTGTAGGGGATCAGTCTATTTCTGAAAAAGACAATGTGAAATAGAAAATGGCTGCTACCACCAACGTGAACAGAAAAGTTAGTTTTTAATGGCTGCTGACGATAGGAAAACCTGCCATTTTAGAGGTGAAATAGGATTCCGAGCATAAATCCAAATTAAACATGCTATATATACTTTCAAACAATGTTTAACACATCTTTAGACTGCTGAACATACCCAACTAGCGAAGAAAAGCCATATAAAAGGTTTTCATTACCACAAATTAAACATCCAGTGGCAGTAAGCCTACCGTTACCAAACGGTGAACTATATGTCCAATTAAAGTATATAATCCTTAGACCAGAGTAGGTAGTTTGGCAAATCGTGTGGTAGAAGCATTAGTAGACATCAGAAATACGTATCACACTTTTTCATTAGTATCGATTCTTGGTTTCCTGATCAAGATACAGTTGTGACAAGGACAGAAATCCTTCAGTCCTATGTATATAATAACCCTGTCTACCTTAAAAACCAGAGAGTCGTGCTGCCATTCAGAGGGAGCTGGACAGGCTGGGAAAATGGGCTGACAGGAGCCACACCAAGTTCAACAGAGGGAATGCAAAATCCTGCATTTGGGGAGGAATAACCCCATGCACCAGTACATGTTGGGGGCTGACTAGTCAGAAAGCAGCTTTGCATAGATGCACCTGGGAGTCCCGATGGGCAACAAAACTGAACATGTGCCAGCAACGTGCCCTTGCAGCAAAGGCCGCTGACAGCATCCTGAGCTGCATTAGGAAGAACTTTGCTGGCAAGCCGAGGAAGGTGACCCTTCTCCTCTACTCAGATCACATCTGAGCGCTGGGTCCTGTCCTGGTCTCCCCCGTACAAGAGAGACGGACCTACTGTAGCAAAGGGCAACGAAGAAGATCCCTTACGACCTCAGTGATTCTGTGATTCTACAAAACACTGCTAAGGCAGCAGCAGGACTGTATAGTGAACTTGTAATTTATTACTTTTAGAGTTCAGTCATCTGAATGCAGACAACAAGAGTAGCAATACATGAAGTAAAGCTTTCAAAATAAATATAGATATGTTTCTATTTTAACTAATTTAGTTAGACTTCCCATTTTTCACAGCTATGGAAAGCTTACAACAAAAAACACTGTTGTCTTCATGAAGCAGTGGACAGGTTAGCTAACCACTGGTTGCAAGTGTGCCACTTGTCTTTGGTCCTCTTTAAAGAATTACATGTAACTAAAAAGCATTGCTACACCTATACATTTTTTCAACATGCACTTTGTTATTGAATCTAGAAGAAGCTTCATCCTAGGCTGTCTGGATTTTGTATCACCTCTGCTTTCCAAAACAAGCAACTTGTCTTTAAGCCACACTGCGATCACCTTGCTGCTAAGAAAATCAATTTTCTAATCTGCTGCATGGTTATTTGTGTGCACGATGATAAACAAAAGTTACTTCACCTCAAGCTACTCTTTATTTTAAAGATACTGATTATGAGGCATTTTCCATCTCAATGAGCCAAAGGTTTTATATTGTGAACAAAGTGAAAATATGTGATTACCATTTCACCATCATACGTTAAGCATTCCTGAAAAACACGATCCAAAAATATGTTGGTCAGAGTCCCTGTTCCATACCGGGACAGTTCTTCTTTGCTGAGCATGCCGTTGTGATCTTTATCAAGGTTTAAGTACTGCCCTAGGGAGGAGATATAGAGGGCAAAACACAGTTTACCTATATCAGCAAAGAACTGTTTCAACAGAGAAAGAAAATTTAGCACTTTTTTAACCTTTATTTAATTTTCATCATAAAGCTAAGGCAGTTAAGTGGGAAGTATTCTAGATCCACAATAGTATTCATAGAGCATCATAAATGAGCACCGAACATGGGGGGAGGGGAAGTGCGATTCCCATAACGAGGAGTTAATAGTTCTATTCTAAGGTAATGGCTCAAAAGTAAAGGCTGTGTATACAGAGAAAGGAGCAGAAGGCTAAGAGCATATTATTTTAAACAGATCTGCTGTAAGCGTGAAAAAAGAGCTAAAGGTGATGCAAAAGCATGAATAGAACAGTCAAAAGAGACGGTTACAGAGGAATCTTGCACCTTGTGCAACAAGCACAAAATGACAGAGGATAAAACCGTTGTAAAGAACAACAGTGGAGAACCGAAACTGTAAAGAAAGTCGGGAAGACAGACTGAAAGGGTGGCTACACGAGTTGAAAAGACAAGTTATCAGCAGGATTTAAAGAGACAAAACCAGAGGAAACAGAGGAAAAATAACACTAAGAATACGACTAAGTCATACAAGAGGAGAGTAAAAAAAAAAAAAAGGTGTTCACATATAAAGGAACCTACCATAAACTCTTAATGCAGAAGGAGCAGAAAACCAATTTGTTTCCTGACTTTCTTTAGAAAGTTCTTCATCCCTTAACTAAGTGAAACATAAAGTTAGAATTCAGAAAGAGTAAATTAAAATACAATAGTATATGCTAAGAGATCTTTACCTCCAGTAAGTCATCCAGGAAGCTGCAAGCTAAAATATCCTGTATCTTTATCTTCCCTGCAGCAAGAAAAGGAAAACACATTTTAACAGTTGCCCAACCAACACATCCGTTTGACTGTTCTCATTTAGGTAGTTCTACTTAAGAAAGAAGTATTCTGAGCAGAAAAAAAAAAGCCTTTTTAAAAAAACAAAACCAAACAAAACCGACTTCTAACATCAAGGATAAGACTGTAATTTAAGAGATAAAAATAGCTTTTAAAACGACTTGAATAAAACTAGCCAGATATTGGCAGAAGAGGAGTTATACTGAAGCCTTGAAAGCCAGAAAACTAGATAAAAAAATGCGAGTGTTCAACATCAACTCAAAATGTACAGTAAAAAATGCAAAGAAAGCACGCTTAAAACATTTGTTGGAGCTATAGAGTCTCTTTAAGTGATGTGGTATTTTAACATCTTCAGAAACTACAGAAGTGACACAAAGGTAAGGTGGCAGAATGCACTCCTGCTGGTGTAGCTTTGGTGCGCAGACACTGCGCAAACACCTGTGCAAAATAATGGCGTTGTAACTTCACACACACCCTCTCTATTGTTTGTAATTACCTCTGCCAGAGGCTACTGCCCACACAACTCTGACATCTTCAAGTGGCACAGCTAGATCTTGAAAACACATGCAATTTGACTTAAATGAAGGGCATACAAAAAGGCAAAGTGTTGTCCGAGGGAGCTACGTCTGTAATAAGGATTAGCAGCCGTAATTGCAAACCTTTTCTAATGAGTTTACATGGTGCACACAAATTTAATCACAGGAGAAGCACATCACAATAAGCATTCTTGAGCATTTCCACAGCTCTGTGGATGTTCTGCCAAACAGTTCTGTTAGTTGCTGTGTTTCCTATTCACCCTAAAACACTTATAAAATTAGCTGCTGCTAATGATGCATTATGATGAAACAATATCTTATTTGTCAGTTTCTATGAGATAACTCTATAGTACCACAGCTGATGGGTATCTCATAGAAATTCATTAGCTGTAGAAGTAGATTATTAGACCCACGTAAAGACTTACAGTCTTCAGTGGAGATTAATCTTCAAATACAAGATTGCTGAACAAAAGCCTACAAAGACAACTACATATTACTTTGAAAACACAAGTAGCTTGGGTGGAAACATTTTGAAAGTGAAAATACTCCCACATATTTAGAATTTTGAAAACATGGACCTACCTGTTCTGAGAGGATCCAGAAAGAAGAAGAACTTTCTAACTGCTGTGCAGACATAGAAGGAGTAAAAAGATTTTTCTAAACCATCCAGTTGTGGCAAAGTAGGGATGAGTTCCAAAATATAGTTTTCTAAATCCTGCAGAATAAAGAAAGAAAAGGAAACAAGCTTTAAACAGTACTACTGTTGGATGTTTGCTATATTCCACCCTGGCTTTCAAGTATATTTTGTTAGGAATACAATCCTGCAACAATGCAGGAAAGACATGAAAGCAGGCAAAAAAGCTTCTGCCTCCATGCAAGGAATCCTAGGTCATATACATGCACATGTGATGCCATGACTGAAACAGTCTACAAATAAAGCAGAATGTTAACAAAGTAGATGATATTTACATGTAAATATAAATGCATTCAGCTGTACCTTTTTCAAATACCAATGCATAACTCCTAATTGGATTATCCTATTGTTGAATATTCTTTACTACATCTTTTTGTAAAGTAGAGTGGTAACTAGAACCTTCTTATTTATTTTATATAAACTCCTGTTAGAACAGGAGAATAATTCATTGAGGCCCACTCTATCCATCCTTCTTTGTGACTTCTACCATATCCTACTAAATCTAGTAAAGTGCTAATGACATGAAACCTTCATATCTCCGATCTCTTTTTCAGAGAATTACCCATATGTTAAAAAGGCTAGCAGCACTCTCGCCACCAAATCTCCAGAATATAGAGACTGCGATTTATCCAAACAAATGTGCCCACTCCAAATCTAGATTATGATACAAACTTTTAGGAGGTAAGACTGGAAGAAAATTGGAGCCTTTCTGATGCTCTTGTTTGAGTAAAGACAGACATCAAGTTAATCAAGAATCATTTACTTACTGATTCTCTGAGGTAGCCCTGTCCTGCCACATCATATAAACTGAGACCTATTCTTGTCTGATGAAGCCATACTGTAAAACAGAAAACAGAATTACAATGCAAGAAGCCTAGGGGGTTTTTGACGCCTCACCAAAATTTGAAGTTATTCTAAAGGCCACAAGGCACTGTTGGATGTTAAGTGCCTCTCTCTTTTTCTCATTTTTCTGAGATTTAAGCAAAGCCATGACATGTACAAGCCCTGCTTAGAAACGTCGTTTCAGTCTCTAAGTTGGTAAGAGTTACTGGTGATATACGGCACGCTGTGGCCAAGACTGCCTTACATAACTAGATGTGAGAAACAGCTGAGCAGACACCACATTTTATCTGGTACATGGAATCACATGGATTCATTCTCTCTTGCTGACCTAGAGATATGTGTAGCAGCGCATTTTCACTACATTAAAAGCAGCTGTACAACATCGTATACAGATTGCTTGTCAGATTGCTGCAGTCCCTTGTGCAGCACGAGACGCTGCAGCTACAGCCAAAGGTCCTGCCCTCACTTCTGAGTTACAAGAAGAGAATTAGAATAGCACAAGCATCTATTTTTGCAATGAGAAGGCACATTAATCAGACAATCTACAGGACAACATGCTTGAGGCCATTGTTAAAGCACAGTAACAGAGACGAAGTACATATTAGGCATAAAACCTATTATTCACACACTCCATGTTAAATTTAGCTTTCATTTTATGAAGAAACAGTTTTAAAGTTCCTCTTATGAAATACGAGCTGTGCTTCATACCAACATTCATCTCTTCAAGGTAAGTGTTTGTCCAGGTGGACTAAGTATCACTCAGAGATGACAGAGGTTGTTTCTTTGTTGGCTGAAGTTTAAAGGTAAGTGTATCATACAGCCTGACGTGATTCTACTAGGCTCGACTTGTTTGGACAAAGCCAACAGACTCAACCACCTTTCCTCCTAAAGAGGGAGCATTACTGGAGACAGATGGCACTTCGGGAAATGCTTCACCATTATTCAGTTATTAACTTCACCATTCACTCATCCCCTCCCAAAAGGGCTGTGCAGATCATTAAGAAAGAGGAAGAAAGGCTGTAATCCACGGACTGTAAGAAATCCTCCAGCTGGAGGTAGGAAGGAGAAAGACAGAATGCTACATGTTCAGCACAAGTATGTGAATACATACAGCTATTCCTAAAACTTTAACGAACAAAAGAAAAACCCCAAAAGCTCATTAATGAGTTCACCTAGTTAGAAAATAGCATCACGCACCTGAGGCACAGCAGTTTAAGATGACTTAAGCTCAGGGTGACATAGCCTCTTCCCTGCTGCAGCACCACTCCGGAGGCTGACCGCTCCGCTGCATGAGCTTCATCAAAACAAGGTAAAATGTGGGACTGCACTGCCCCAACTTGGATCAGCTCAAGCAGCTGCAGAGTAACTCCATCATCTGTTACTTTCCCCTCCTTTCAGTGCCACACTGAAGGACATTCAGCAGTAAATACAGATGGAAATCACCAACTCCAATCTAAAGTATTAACTGAAAGTTCCTACCGTAATTTAAATCTTTTCTTCCTTTAATACCTGGCCTGGTCTTTAGCCCTCATATGGAACACTGTACAACAGACAATAGAAATGATCTCAGCTACTGCACAGGCATGCTACTGGGCTAACTTTATTAGGCAATTCCAATGCTGTAAGCTAGCAAAACCAAGGATCCTTATTCAACTGACCCAAGAGGGACTTGCAAACAAATACTGCATTGGGACCTTATGTTGGCCAGAGTCTGAAAATGAAATCTGATTGAGATGGGACATGCCAGAAGGCTTCCTGTCTCTAAATTTGGTGGGGTTTTTTGTGTTGGTTTGGTTGGTTGGTTGGGGATTTTTGGGGTTTGGTTTTTTAGGGTGGGGGGGGTTTGGTGGGGTTTTTTTTGTTTGTGTTTTTTAAGAAGAGAGGTATCACCATAAATACACAAGACTTAAAACTTCTGGATGAAACAAATGAAAGAGAGCTCAAAAAGAATCTCTGTTGTGTCCAGCCGGGTAAGCCTTTTTGAAATGCATACTATTTTCACACACTTCTTCACAAGTCTCCTATCCTGCAGCTTTTGGGTTTGCTGTTTGTTGCAAATGGGCCTGTTACCCCTTTCTTGCATACTCTGCATGTCTACTCACCAGGTTTCCTGCCCAACACATCTCTCATCCCTTGCACCACAAGATTTTAAGTTAAACAAGCTGAGCTGCTCTGGGGAAAGGTGCCATTCTCCCCTCCTGAAGGCTCTACCAGACCAAAGAACACAGTAGCCAGGGGACAAGGCAATGAGGCAGCCTTCCTTTCTGCTAGCCAGCCTCATCTTTTTAAACAAGATCTAATACGGATTTAAAAAAAAAATAAATTGCATTTTTCAGCCCAAGAGGTTACTTATAATAAAAAATAGCTGAAAATATGGTAAGGCTATAGCGACAAGCACAAGAACATATTGATATATTTGACAAGCACAGTTAGAAAACATAGATAACACCACTCTGTAGAAGGAAAAACAGCAAAGCAAGCTATCTGCCAGACAGTCTGATCACAGTGGTTAGGATCACACCCGCAACGTAACTTTACTGTTTTGCTCTTCACCGTACTGCCTGAATAAAGGAAATCAGAATGACAATATATAACAAACAGATCAAGGGTATCTCTGGCTGAGGGGAGAGGTGGATTTCAGAGGTAGGGTGAACTCCTACCTCCTAGTAACCGGAAAAAAACCCCAAGCCTCCAGGAAAACAGCATTGGCAATCAAGGGCTAGATCTCACTGCTGTTGAGAACAGCAAGTAATTAATAAAGCTTAAAATAGCCTTGAAAATAAAACAATTTCTCATTAACACAAAAGAAGCATCAACTAACCTTTTCGCATGACATAATTGAAAAACTGCATGATAGATATCCTCCCATAAGGATCATTATGGAGTAATTTAGCAAAGATCTTAGCTGTGAAGAACTGCCTGTAAAACATAAACACAAAGCTACTTCTATGCATCCGATTACACTGCACTGACAGATCCAGTTACAGTATCCAGAACTTAGAGACACTTTAAAATACTGTTTTAACAATATAGAATGTGTTCTGTGTATTCAAAGACATTAATTTGCTACACTACACCCATCAAGTGGGATCTACCAAGTAACAATGGTAAACTCAATAAAAAGCAGCTGCCTTTGCTGCTCATGAGACTCTTCAGTGATGTGGGTGTTTTGAGAGTTTTCATTCAATTTAATTTCTCTTTAGTACAATATCTTTGGTAGCTTCCAATCTTCTACAACAACATGCACATAAACGGAACTGCCAGTACTGACAACTAATCTGCTTCTGCCCAAAACGCAATCACAAAGCTATGTGCACAACAGCAGTCTCCAACAGGAGTGTAAAGAAGGAATATTCGCTGTATGCTGTACACAGGACACCTGGTAGGAAATTTTCCATCAGAAGATATTAGGGAAGGTTCGGCAGTATCACTGGAGACATGATTTCCTCTTCAAATACAAAATGTGCTGTTTACTGGCCACTAACATCATAAAAATGCTCATGCTGATAAGAATTTCTTCAAAAGGATGCAGTAGACCTCTTGCAGACATCTCTATCAAAAGTTCCCTCAGAGATGTATGGCAATACACCTTTGCAAGGATGCAAAGCAACTAGTTCATCAATAACTACATGGACATGATTTTATCTCACCATTAAACTGTTTCCATCTATTTTAGCAACTGAAAGTTAGAGCAGCACTTAGCTTTAGCCAAAGTAAGCATATACAAGAGAAGAAAGCCTTACTTGCACTTAGGTCCAGCTTTTTCACCAACTTTCAAGAAGTTCTCATAGTTGATCATTGCTTCTTCCCCAATCATCGGAGATGTCTGATGTTTGTCCAGTAGAAACCATAGATTCTTAAAAGGCATTTATATTTGGTTAAGAAGGTATCTCTCTAGAGATGTCAATGTGCTTAAGACAGAGCATCTAAGAAATGCAGCAAAGATGTGGTTTTGCTGCAAGGTTATCTCAGTTATCAGTACACGTCATCAGTTCAGACAGAAAAACAAGCAAGCGATATTTCAACTGCTCTAAACTGGTGTTACACACACACAGACACACACTCTCTCTCTCACTCACTAGGATTTCTAGGGTCACATCCCTTTTGTCTTTGCACTGCAGTAAACTCAACCATCTTTGGAGTCTCTCTCAGTGATATATAAACAGAACTTATTTCTTCTTCTGGGCCCACTAGGGAAATTGTTGGAATGTGCTGGAAAACCAGAAACCATTGATTTAGTCCTCATATACATCATAATGAGGAAGCTTTACACTGACATTACCAGCCCACGACTATGCAGCACTTCAGCTTTAGCTAGTACTTCACAACCAGCCAACGTGCCCAAATACAAAGCACCTTACCACAAGAGTCTGTGGACAGACAGGAGATAATCAAACTCAGCAGAAAGAGGAAGTCTTGTCAGAAGCCGTTACAAAACATACAGAAGATATTTTCTTACCTGCAGCTCTTCGTTATCCAACAGCTCTCTACTTTTTCTTTGCAGAAAGACTGCTCTAGATTCTTCTCTTAATTTCTGAAGCAAGACTTCATCTTCAGCTGGCAGCTAGAAACATTGTGGTGTTTTAATTATCTGTACAGTGGTACCATTCAAAAACTACACATCTAGCAAGTACTCTTAGGTAGTCCTGACTCACATGCTCTGATGAAGCTGTTTACTCAACAGAAAACAACGACCTATCTACCAGAATGCAGTATGGTACCTGCTTCTTCTACAGGGATATCACTTGCGTACTGTCTCAAATTATTTAAATATCAAAATATTTATTTAAAGCAGGACATCTTTAACATGAGAGACAGAGACCTACCTCATACCTGATAACCCATCCAGTAAGCACTTTCCCCACAGTTGCAAGATAGAAGGGCTCACACATAAAAGACACTTACTACTGTGTTTTTACTCAGGAGAGAGCAGCACTTTCTATTTTCTGGTAGGCCTGACTCTCAGAAGTATGAATGTCTACTAGACTTGTTTTGGCCAACAAAACAGATGGAAGAACACTTAGTATGAAAGTTCTGCCGATGTTTACAGGCACAACTGTACAGCACTACCAGAACTTGGATGGTTGCATATGTATTCATCAACTGAAACATAGGTACTTGAGAACTTAATTGGCAGAAACTCATGATCCTAAGGAATATGGGACCATGCGAGGTTAGACGACAGCTCAGTGGTCAAGTTGACAAATGCCAGCAATATCAAGATGTCGAACTCGTGCTCCCATATTCCCCCATCCCAGTCTGATTCATCTCACACGTAAGTTGCCAGACCAAGCATTTCTGCTGGATGATGCAAGTTACAGACCTATCTTTAGTCTGCAAGGCCAATGACCCACTGTTTTCATGAAGCAGCATCCCATTGTGTCTAAACAGAAACAGGGAGATACGTATTTATAACACTGGTATGTCAAAATTTAGTTAAAACAGGAAGTTTCTCTGAAAGAGAAAGAGGACTTCCTATCTTTAGTAGTTTGCCAAGCCTACTGTCTGATTAGCAAACTACTTCATGGCCTTTGATGAGATGCTTAGTAATTATTTGAAACTGCTGAAATCCACAATTGTACAAAACAAAAAGTTAAGCTTAGCAATCCACATCATTCAGATTTCAGCCTACTTAAGCTTGTGAAGCTGAACTGTCCCTTTGAATAAGCACAACTTTCTTTATAACACAGAATAGCCTCCTGTTGAAGTTTATCTGGATACCCCACTTACCCTGTAGTAAAATCGTGGTATGTTTGTGTATGACGTATTGCCACTTTTCCTTCCTCCTTTCCACTCCATGTAATATTTTGTGAACAATTCCATTTCTTCATCTTTTAGCTCTTGTTCGCTCTTTTTGGCTGATTAACACAGAAAAGAATTTTCGTGTTGTACTCCAAACAGAGTTTCAATGTAACAAGGAGCTTGAAAAAAGGAGTTAATGCTGAGGCTTATACAGCTATGCTGTTTAGTAACACGAATATTAGGTGGAAATGAATGGAGCACAGGCCTATTATGTAAATTATATAACAGATACAACAAACACGTCACACATACATTCCATTCGAGTATCTACAAAGCACCCTCTTTCAGTGACTGCACGTGCCCGATCCTCCGTAGGGTACGCGCTTCTCACAGAGATGGTTGTGACTGACAAAGCAGCAGCGTTCTTGTTCTGCAGTGGTAGCACTGTTTAAGATCCTGCGTACGGCAAGCAGCAGCGTAAAACCACCTTTCGGTCTGTAACGTCAGGGATAGCATTATACGCCTGCACGAGCTCTCCGCGGGCTCACTCAGGAATACAGAGCTACCGGCCAACGCTGCCACAACTCCGCTCCCCTCCCCCCCCAGCCGTTACCGCGCCCGCGCGGCTCCTCAGGGCTCCTCAGTCCCCCCGTCACCAACCCCTAAACAAGGGTGTTTGTTCCTCCGCAGAACCGAGCCCGAGACCTGCCCGGCCCCCACGGCCGCCTGCACGCGGGGAACTAAAGCAACACCGGACACGCCGACGCTCGCCCCGCCAGGCCTGACCCCGCACCCCCTTGTC